CATATTATGAAATAGAGATTTTTCATAACTTTGGAGTCATGTTTGAATGTGAGCAAGTCTAATGTTGAGATTTATTTCAATTTACAATGAAGTTATTCTGGCCAGACCTGTCTTAGAAGGATCTGAGATGCTATCCAGTTTCCCAGGCTTTGGTCCTTTTTTTACTCTTCTTGAAAATTTTTTCCTACTTGAAATTCAGTCCGTTTTTTGTTTTTTGTTTTCCTTTTGCCTTGATGTCTACGTCTCTATTTTTATTTTTATTTTTTTGCTAACGCATTTTCCAGCTTCATAGATACAGTTGTGCCTCAAGGTTTGTCTGTTTCTTCTCCTTTTACATTAAACATTTTCTACGTCCCTGAGTCTTCTCCCATGTAGGTTACATTCGTTGGCATTTGGTATCAGTCTGCCTAGATACTCATGCCAGGGCACTGAGAACCTGAGATAGTTTTATTAATAAAATGGAAGCTTCTACTTTCTCTGATCCGTTCATGAAACCAAGGTACATTTTATTTTGAATAATTTAATTTTCTGAGTGAACATCTGTCAAAAATATTAAAAAACGCAGGTAAATTTTACTCCTCTTAATGTCTTAACCCTATATGTACTTTTGTTTCCATTTTCATTATACTTTTAAGTCTCTCCTACCTTATTCAACAGTAAGGCATATATATATATATATTGCGGTTACCTTATTCAACAATAAGGCATATATATGTGTGTATATATATATATTGCGTTGTGTCAGCATGCTCTTGAGTAGGTAAGATTTTCTGGGCATTTGGGTAGCTTAATCGCCAGGTGCAATCTGTTAACTATTTAGTCACATTATTATTTTATTAAATGAAAATCCAGTCTCGTGAATAATCTAGAAGAGTGCTTTTTAGACATGAACGTGGATACAGATCACCTGGAGCTTTTCTTAAAATGAAGATTCTGCTTCATCAGGTCTAGAGTGGGGCCTAAGAGTTTTGCATTTCTAATAAGCTCCAAAGCGGAGCCAGTACTGTTGATTATAGGACAGCTGAGTAGTGTGTGTTATTTCTCTTACAGAAATGGGCTATTGGCCCTACTTGCAATAACATTTAGATGGTGGTTGTGGGAAAGAATCTTTAAATTATCCATAGCAGAGTGTAGAGATCCCTTGTCCATGTTTCTGTGTCTATAAAATTTGGATAAGTATAGATGTATATATTTTCTTATGTCTTTATTTTCAGAGGAGCGAAATGACTGGATCAGCATACTAATGAATGCACTGAAATCGCAGTCCCTCTCCTCGCAGTCTCAAGCAGTTGTCGCACCTGAGAAATGTGGATATCTTGAATTGAGAGGGTATAAAGCCAAAATTTTTACTGTGTTAAGTGGAAACAGTGTGTGGCTTTGCAAAAACGAACAGGTAAGCTATGTTACAAGAATTGCAAATTGTTATTCCTTAATTACATGAACAACTGTGCTTTTTTAGTGTTTTTACTTAGAGTCTTGCTTTGCCTTGAGTACTCCACTAAATATAACAAAGGAAAGAGTTGTTTTGTTACATTTTCTCAGTTCACTCAGCAGCAAGAAAGTAATCTACATCAAATTTGAGGGACTTAGGAAAGAGAATCATTAAAAATAATTTTTGCAGTAACATTATGAAACTACACAAGACAATAATTATGAACCATTTAACCATTACAGCTGTTGATGAAATATGCCCAGTTCTGTACCTGTTGAGTGTCTTGTTTGTAATAGACAATTATAGAGTAAGCACATATTTTCTGGAGTTCACAGCATTTTTTTCTGAACGGATATGTTGCTTGCAGAAGAAATAATTTACTAGAGGAAAACGACTGATATATACACATCTGCACATATGCACATACATAAACATATATCACATATATATAAATAAAAATAACTTGTTGACTTACTGAATTCAGTTAATATCACAGGACTATTTAGAAAATTTAAATGTTTCAAGGAGACTAATGTTAAAGTTTTAACAAATTCTGTTAAATTCATCAGATTCTGTAGACTTCTCTTTAACATATCTACTTTTTAATATATATAAGAAAATGCTGTCCTTATCCCTTTTGGGGAATTAATTCTTAATCTTTCAGTCTAGAATACATTAAATGCTTAGTAATTATTTGTGGAATTAAATGGTGTGCTTTGGATATCTGATCAAATAGGAACTAATTTTATGATACATTATAATGGGTTATGATAAGACGAAATATAAATGCTGACTATTTTCATAACAAAATATAGATGTCAACTCAAACAGTAGTTTCAAAAGTATTAACTATAGATCTTTATCCAAGGGATACTCTGAACTTCAGTGTGAACTTACTACAATTTTTTTTGGATAAGATTTCTTAACCAATTAACTGTGGAAGGCATCATTGAGCATCGTTGGCATATAAATAACCCAGATAGTTAGCATATTCCTCAAGAAAAGTGACTCATAGCCTAAGAATGTGTATGAATGCAATATGAACATCTTCAGTTTGTGAAGTATGATGATTAAAACTTTTCTTATTGGAATGGAGGTTAAAATGCATAATTGGCATGTGTCAGTATGGAAGTTACTCTGCCAAATGAATACCACAAATTAGTTGAGATATTAATCTTTTACTTGCACAGATCTGGTGGGCTTCAAATTACTAGTTTAATTGCTTATGTTAGAATGTCTGAGTTTGTTATTCTCTAGAAATAAAGTAGAATGTTTTTAAGGTTTTATTAATACTTTGTGATTATCAGGAAGTTATATGAATTTTTTGCATTAATATTAGTAATTGAACATAAAAAGGATAATAATGACTACCATTTGTTGAGTATCGTTTGTTGCTAATTAATTTATAAACATTCCCTTTAAACTTCTCCACAAATGTAGGAGGAAGATACTCTCATCTATGTTTTATAGATGAGGAAAGCAAGGATTAAGGATTATAGTTCATTATGCAGAGTTTAATTTAAAACTAGAATTATAACTCTAAGTCTTGCTTCTTAGCGACTATATCAAACTATTGTTTTAAAGTGTATGTTAGAAAAAAAATTTCTGGCCTATGACTCTTTAGAAACAGACTAAGATTCTTTCCTTGAATAATTTAGTTGCCTAGAAGGTTTAGAGTGTGCATTTAGTAAACATTATACCATGTCAGGCACTCTAAAAACGATGCACTTACTGGAGGACAAAGTCTTATCTTCCAGAAGGAAAAGTCAGACAAAAACAGTGTTTATGGTGGATGGTGAGCTTGTGCAGGAGTTACAGAGAAGAGCAAATAATGGGCATCTAAAGAAGTCTGGGAATTAGAAACACTTCCGTGTACACAAATGATGAATATATTCGTTTTGAAATTACAGCATTAATACTGGGCCTCTCCTCATCCTTTAAATAAACCTATTTTTGCTATATGTATATTCTAAGTCCTTTTCAATGCATTAACATGAGTGTGTGTATGTACGTGAGTGTGTGTGTGTGTACACACATATATGTATATATACTCACATATATATAGCCTTAAAAAGTGCATACTATATATATAAAGTATATATATATGAAGTATATATATGTAACATATATAGCCTTAAAAATGCATACTATATATAAAAAATATATATATAAAGTACATATGTATAATATATATGTATATATTATATATATATATAGCCTTAAAAAGTGCATACTATTGTTCGTATATGTGTTCCTTTTTTAAAAAATTGCATTCTATTAATCACATGGAGCCAGGTCTTAAGGGACTTAGTCTTGAGTCAAGTATTAAAGACCTAGTTGGCTAAGACTGGACGGATAAATTAAGGAAGGCCCTCTGTGTTTAGGCCTGACATACTGTTCCAGATTTACATCATATTGTATGCCTTTTCTTCTAGAGGAAAGTTGCCCATTGGTTTTCTCACATGGTTGAGCAAATCGTGTGAAGAACTTGGGTGATGTGCTAAATAAGGAGTCTTTTTCCTGAATGCACAGGGCTTTTAAGCTAGTGTTTTAGGAAAAGCACTGAAAGATAAAATAGTTTGGTGCAATTTCTCAAAGTTTTGTACTCACAACACATGAAGTAAGCTTGTGTTTTTTTTTGTTTTTTTTTTAAGGATGATGGAAAAAATCTCATAAAAATATAAAAGAGGTGTTAGATTTGAACCTCTTTTTCTTAATTTGTGTAGGCTATAATTTAGTTCCATGCATCAGAGCTTAATTATTTTCATTCATTAAGTTTTAAAACAGTGAATTTATTGCCCACATAACTTATAGTATGAGAAGAATAAAAAATAAAATTGACCTGCACCTCTCTAACATAAGAACTATTTTCAGTTTTCATGCCTCTATTTGTACATAGTTTTACTACATTACTCTGGAGGGTTATTCCAGAGAGAGTAAATAGACAATGGATAGAGGTGGAAGAGTAGCTATTGCAGCATATGTTGAAGAGTTATTATAAAGGAAGCTTGGAAACACATTTAGAACAGAGATTGGACTCTATGGTAGTAGTTCTGGGTTTTTATTCTTCCTCTGCCATTAGTTCGCTCAGGTAATTAAGTTAATATCCTGAGGTTTAAGAGGCATCATGTGAAGAAGAGAGATGGATTACTGTCTCTAAGGCTATTATTTAAGTCGTACATTAAAATTCCAGATATCTGGGCTCATTAGACCATTGACTTAGAATCGAGGGGATGGGGTGCTTGAATCTGTGTTAGTATAAAGCATACCAGGTGATTCAGTGACAGGTTATCCAAAAACCGCACAGTAAAACACTGCTCTAAGATTTTTTCTTCTTTAAAAATGATAAGCATCCAGATAAAATGAACAAGATGTTTCTGGAGTTGGAAAATAAGTAAAAATATCCTTCAACAACATTGAGTGCTGCTTTAGTTCATCAAACATTAATTTGGGGTTGCTGTACCTCTTTTTGTGACTAAGTTTCATTTGAAAGGAAATCTTTTTCTTGATTATACATTTTGAAATGTGCAAACTTAAGTGGAAAGTTAAGAAAATATTAGTGGTAATACATTTTTAAATTTTGAAGAACTTACTAATAAATCATGTATGGTTCTAAACTTATAGCTGCTGGGTTTTTTAATTTGTTTTATGCTAAAATATCATCAATTTTTATATAAAAATTTAATTTTTCACTTTGCAAAGTCTGTCATATTCCTTTTCTTAAAGACTATTATTACCAGAATATGTTCTGTTAGAGACATTAAAACTCCATTTGCGAAGTCAGCATAAAGGAAAGTGTTTGAAAAACAATTTGAAACTGTTATTTCCCAAAAGGTCCTTTACTGTGTGTATGTCTGGAAATTTACTCTAGTTTTATAGAGTGTTGCTAATCTTTCCTCGAGGTTTTTCTCTACTTCCAATAGGTGTCCCTAAGATTCCATGTCAGGCATCCCTACAAATATATCTCAGTGATTCTTTCCCTTATCCTGGGTCTGTCCCTTCTATCGAATCAAGAACTTAAATTTTCTAAGTTAAAATAACTTTTAAAAGACTATCATAATTATTGCCTTATTTTTGAAGTTTTTTCCTTTCAAAAGTGGCATAATGATAGCAAAGGGGAGATGTCAGTCTACATATTCTCATCGATAGCTATAAACTCTACGGAATCAACATGGACTTTTTGTTTTTTTCAGTTTCTGAGTTCCAAGATTCATGTTCATCTCTTTCTTTCTCTTTCATTTATTAGCAGATTGTAGAAACTGAAACGTGAAGTAACTTTTGGCCGAATAGGAGACATGCCTTAGGGAATGTTAGTTTCCCCCACACCCCAATAGGCTGTAAAAAAGTAGGAAAGAAACATGTAGATAGAAGTAAAAACATTTGTTAGGAAGATGGCACAGTAGAAACTGACACTAAAATTCTTTTATTGAGTTGACACACAGTAATTAGTTTCAGGTGTACAACATAGTGATTCAACATTTATATATTTTATGATGTGATCACCATAAGTCTAGTAACCATCTGTCACCATACTTATTTTGATATTATTGACTATATATCCTATGCTGTACATTATATCCCTTTGACTTATTTTATAACTGGAAGTTTCGTACCTCATAATTCCCTTCCCCACAACCATCCTTTTGTTCTCTGTACCTGTGAGTTTGCTTTTGTTTTGTTTTTGTTCATTTGTTTTGTTTGGTTTTAGATTCCACATATAAGTGAAATTATATAGTATTTGTCTTTGTTTGACTTATTTAACATAATACTCTCTAGGTCCATCCGTGTTGTTGTAAATGGCAAGATTTTATTTTATTTTTTATGGACAAGTAATATTCTGTTGTATATATGTAACACTTCTTCTTGATCCATTCATCTGTTGATGGACATCTAGGTTGCTTCCATATCTTAGCTATTGTAAACAATGCTACAATAAGCATAGGGTACATAAATCTTTTTGA